TTTTCGCCTGCACGTAGCAACGAATTACCTTCGTAAAATTATAAGCTTGTATTCATTTGTTTCTGAACTGTGACAGCAATAGCAGGAAAATATAAAGCTCTTCAAACTTTGAAAAAATTGCCAGTGAGCCAATAACTCGGGCCCAACGGCTTTTTCCTCATTCATAAGATCAGTAAAGTAAAAAAATTTTCAAATCATCCCTTTAAGAAAGTTTGCTACGTTACTCAATTGGGTTCTCGCCTAGCTTAATTTTTTGCTAGTCTGTGAGAATTTTCCATGCATTTGAATTTTGGCTCAGTAAGCTGAGAAGTTTTGCATCAAATTGACGTCCAGATTGGCAGTTATGGCGTTATCAGGAGTGATATGCGAACCAACAACAACGGAAGCAAACGAATACGATTCTCTCTCTGATGTAAGTAACCTCATCATATTTCCTATTCATTCGGAAATGTGGTTCACAACTCTACTTGAGAAGGGAAGCCAGTGAATTTCCCTCTAAGGGCTTCATAGATGGATTCTGTGACGTCTCACTTTCTTCTGATTCCAGCACTGGCCAAAGACTGCTGAGCCACCAGTGCCGGTGAAAACTAATTGGGGAGCAAGGCAAAAAATGCCAACAAACGCATACTCCCAAGGCTGTGTTTGTCTGTATTGTGTATTTGGATTTCTGTTTGGCATTTTCAAGTTAGCGACCGAAACTGCTAGAAAGCTAAAATTTTTGCAAGATGCCCCTGTACAACCTCAGAAATTTTCACGTGTGCTTGTGCTTCACACACGAAAAATTGAAGTTTTTGGTTAAAAATTTTCCAAATCGGCAGTCACATCGGAAAGAAAACTGAAATTTTAAAAGGATGTTTCCAGTACATGTGCTACCTTGCAAATTAAAATTATTTCCGCGCGTGCCGCCGTACTGCGAGCAATACGTGAAAGCCGAGATATCCCTCTAGATTCAAAAGCAGAACTAAGCAAAACTCATGAACTCTTTGGCCGTTGAAACGTTATTTATTTTTATCGCAAAGCGAGCTGTGCTGACCAATATTTAGCGTTTTTCTTTTTTTTTTTTTTATGAAGGTTGCAATTTTTTGTGAAATGCAGAAAATATCGGACCTCAGCGAGGAATCTGCAGATGAGTTGGAAATTGACCCGGCCGATGCACTTGTTGTGGAAGAAGTTGTCGACAAGTGTTTCGTATGTTTCGGGCCATTATTTTTTAATTGCTTCAGAATCTCATTTATTACAGTAAAAGAAGTCGAATAAGTTAAATCGTCCAGCCAGCCTTCTTGGCTTTCAGCATTAAATCCCCAACTTTAAGTACCGCGAAAAAGTATGAATGAGTTGCGATCGCTTTTCCACTCAGATGAAAAATACAAGGCATGCCAGGAGGCTAAACCAAAAAATGATTGTTAAAGAAAAAATACGAACAGGGACTTCATTTGAAAATTCGTAAAAGTGAACTGCTTATATGAAAACAGTAACGGGATAAAAGAATAAAATTTTTCGGTCCATGAAGTCGTTTGCATTTCTCTCTTATATCAAAATTGGGCTTGTTCTATGCAACGATTGTGACTTGCATAATCAAAATATTTTAAAATCAGCAATCAGTGCAAGAACAAGATAATTGGCCAATGCGCGGGCTGTCCGTGCGAAGATACGTTTTTTGCATAGCTCCCCGCAGATTTTTGTCGCTAACGGCACTGGCTTTTCTGGCAGATGCTTCTAGCTAAAGGAATTTTAGACTGGCCGCCAGGACTGTCAGGAAACATCGCTTCAAAATTCCAGTCTTCTAGCTTCTCACTTTCCCGAGTTAGCAACTTACCCGGAAGAAACTTTCAAGGGCCCGTACATAGGTACCAAGCTTACCCGCGGGCAGGGTTTGAACTCTTTAATACCTACTTGGACGGAGAATATTGCCCTAAGGTTTCAGCGTTCTAGCTTCTCAGGTCCCCGAGTTACGAACTTATCCGAAAAAAATTTTGGCGGGCCCGTATGCAGGTACCACGATTACCTGGGGGATAAGTTTCAGCGCTTTAACACCTACTTGGACGGGAGATATCCCCCTAAGATTTCAGCGTCCTAGCTTCTCAGATTCCTGAGTTATGAACTTACGCCGAAAAAAACTTTGGCGGGCCCGTACGCGGATGCCACGCGAGTGATGGCGCCAATTTTGGGGATTGGGGCCGGCACATGTATGAAGATTAAGGTTCGGAAATTTCAGCCCCGCAGCTTTTATAGGT